TAGCTAGCTATATCGCCCGATAGTAAATAACCCAATTCGAATTGCTAGCTAGGTATATCGGGTAGTATATTGAGTTAGCTAGCTAGATCGCCCGATAGTCGATATTTTTTTTCTCCTTGGGTATATCCCATTCTTAACATGTCAACTTCTTATCTAAATATTAATGACATCAAATACTCAAGAGTCTCAACTTGCAGGTGATCGTACAGCAACAAAATCCAGTCTTCGTCTTGAATGGATTTACGGTTATCGATCAGCAAATTGTCAACGTAATATTCATTTAACTTCAAATAGTGAATAAGTTTATTTTTCTGCTACTGTTGCAATTGTTGAAAATATTGATGAGAAAAATAATTATCGACAACAATTTTTTCTTGATGATGATAGTGATATTATTAGTTCATGTCTTCATCCCAATAAAACAATTATTGCAACTGGTCAAATGGGTAAAAATGCACAAATCTGTGTTTGAAATATCCAAGGTACAATCAAATTAGAAAGTCTTTTACAAGGACATACCGATGGTGTTAGAGCAATGAATTTTAACACAAATGGAGATGTAAAAGACAAACTTTATTTGTTTTTGTTTTGTTTATTTTTTTTGTTTATTAGAAATTAGCGAGTGTTGGAATTGATCATGAAAATACAATTAAAATTTGGAATTGGAATCGTGGAAAGATATTAGCTACAGTTGCTGGACATTCACAACGTGTTTTTGATATTTGTTATCCTGATAATTATGTTATTACATGTGGTGTTAAACATATTCGATTTTGGACATTACTTGGTAATACATTAGAATATAAAGAAGGAAAATTAGAAGCACAAACACTTTTATATATTGGATATTTTCCATCTTTAGATATAAAAAATTCAATAATATCTACAGATGATAATAGTTTATGTTTTACAGGAGCGATTAATGGAGATTTATATGTTTGGAAAAAAATAAAATCGATAAAATTATTTCTGGAATTCATACAGTATGTTTTACTATAATAATAATTATCTTCTCGTGAGAAATATTATAATCTATTTGATTAGAAAACAATTTATTCCATTGATATCAATCAAAATAGTTTTCTGACAAGTGGTAAAGATGGTTTTGTGATCGAATGGACACGAAATTTTATTCCAACAATTCAATCAAATCGTATTCCATGATTCCGAAGGTTAATCAAAATTTTTCAAAAACAAAAACAAATAATCTCTCTATATAATTAGATGTCAGTGTCTGTAGTATTGCTTCTCGAAATGGTTATTGTGTTGTTGGTACTCGTGATAGTGAAATTTATGGGTTTGAATTAAATAAAAATAAAATCCTGAAATTCTTATTCAAGGTCATCATGATAATTGTTTATATGCATTAGCTTGTCATCCACGAGAAAATATATTTGCTACGGGTGGAGATGATTGTATACTAAGCTTGGTGGAAATTTGACATATGAAAACAAAATAATTTCGTCTTAAATACATTTTGGAATGCTGAACAAATGTCAATAATATTATTTTATCCAACATCTAATAGTTTATTTTCACCAATTCCTTCTATTCGATCTTTAGCATTTTCAATGAATGAAAATCAAATTGCTGTGGATTATGAAAATGGTTATATTGAAATTTATTAAACATTGTTTGTTATTTTCATTTTCTAAGAAATAAAATTCATTTTTATTTTTTGTGAACGAATTGAACCTATACATACAATTCATGATAGAACAGGTCGTATAGAATCATTAAAATTTTTTCCGAATGATAAATATCTTGCTGTTGGATGTATTGATGAAAGTATTGATATTTATGATGTACAAAATCAATTCAAAAATTTATATTTTAAAAATAATAGTAAAATGAAGAGATAAAATGAAATTTTATCGAAATGATATTTCTCTTTTTAGATAATAATTTAAATGTAACAACTATTGATTGAACAGAAGATGAGAAATATGTTCAATTTACTGGAGAAAATAAACAAACATTTATTGTTATAATTCCTTGTAAATAAAGGATATAAACTAAGTTCTGATTCCTCGTGCAATATTATTTTCTCAGGTATTTCTAGAGTTTAAGAGGCTGATATTTACAGTGTGTATACTATAACCCCAGTTGTACTTTATGGTAAAATTTCAGCTTTCTATCTATTATCATTTGCAGACTACATGCATCACAAAAAAAGCAACGAAAAATCCAAAAAATCGAGATAAAGGGTATTCCATAAGTTTCGATCCCATTTTAATTTTTGCTGTATCTTTGTTCTATCGACTCCATGGCAAGTTCCTATTTCCAGGAAATTCAAATAAATCACTATTTAAACAATTGCATGAAAATTCACATTGTAGTTTAGGATAGACAGAACTAGACAATAGACATATCTTGTTGGCATAGAATGGGATGGGATAGGATAGTATGGTATGGTATAGTATGAGATGGGATGCGATGGAATAGGATAGTAGGATGGGGTGGGATATTGAGAAACAAAAACTACAACATACGAGGTATTCGAACTCCAGTACACTATTCGAATTACTCGACGTTTTCGGTGTACTAATTTGAATTTTTGAACCCATCCCATCTCATCCCCATACTATCCTATCTTATCTCATCCTATCCTATGCCAACAAGATACATCTTTTGCCTATTTCTGTCTATCCTGAACCACAATGTGAATTTCCATGCAATTGATTAAGTAATGATTTATTTGAATTTCCTGGAAATAGGAACTTGCCACCACATGGTTCTATCCAAAGGTGGAGTGATTTTAAATATATACATTTTAAAGAGCAGCATCTAAGCTATCATTCAACATAAGTTTCACTCAATTAGCATTCGCTGTAAGAAAATGCCACGTTGGTCTAAATATTGAAAAGATTTTATCAAATTTTTTTTCCTGTGATAAATCGTTTTTTCAGTGATATTTTAATATCTCCCTCAGTTTTTCATGTTTTAACTCGATTTTTTTCCAAAAGATAGCCTGTGAAATTCTGCACAAAACCCTCAAGAAACAGCTCTTCAAAAGAATTACTTGAAAATTTGTAGCAGTTCACTTCGGAAAAATTCACTTTCACAAACACTTTTTAAAAAAATGCGTATTCCTCTCTCTTGACTAAACAGATTTCATACTATTTCTAATTATTCTTTTGAAGAGCTGTTTCTTGAGGGTTTTGTGCAGAATTTCACAGGCTATCTTTTGGAAAAAAATCGAGTTAAAACATGAAAAACTGAGGGAGATATTAAAATATCACTGAAAAAAACGATTTATCACAGGAAAAAAAATTTG